ATGTGTGTCATCTCTCCTAGTTCTTTTTGAATTCTTTTAAATTTTATGATTTTTTTTTAATTGTTCTCCTAACTCAGGGTCGTAGGGTTCAAGGTTTGAATGTCCTTAACTACGCATACACTATTGGGTTAACACATGAAATGACCCTAAGTTAGCAAGAATGGTAACAAAGTACACATGAAAGCACCAATAATAGAGTAAACAATAAACAAACTTAATACAAAGTCAAACAAGAAACAAGTAACAAAAATTTTGCAATTAGTAAAAAAAAACATGATATAAGCGCACAAAATTAATAAGAAACTAACAAGATATTTTTGGACAATTATGAAAAAGAAAAGAAATAAGAAATAATTTACAAATTAGCACAATAAATTTCAATTCGAAGTCCTAAAAGTTCAATTAATTTTTTTCTAATTGGATTTCACCGTCGCTCCCCAGCAACTGCGCCCCAGCAACTGCGCTAAAAACTTGATACGATCCAAGTGTGGTTAAGCACTGACGACTCATATAAGTATACATGTAGAAGAATCAGTAGTATTCAATATAAAGTACCAAATGACAATCCCATAGGGAACGAGATAAAATCCAATATGACAATGTTGTAGCCTAGAGTTGTTGGACATAACCTGAAAATTCAATTCTTTGAGTCTGGTGAGAAGTTTCAGTGAAAGAAGTGCCTCCACCTTGAATTGGATCCTAGAAACCTAAGTTAAGTGAAGTGACGAGTGTTGGAGTCTAACAAGAACAAATGTTTTCCTCAGCCCCCTTTCAGTGGTACTAAACAATTAAGAAATTTTTTCTAGTGAGTTCCTTGCTTCCAGTGAATTTTTTGAGAAAATCATTTCCTACACCTTAGCACTAAACAGAGAAAAATTTCTATTCTCTTGAATCAGCAAATCCCCGACCAGATGATCCGCTCAATATGCTTCCACATCACAAGATTCACAAAAATGTAACCAAAACAAATGGCCAATTTGTATGTAAATGAAGATTAAATGGAGAATTTCCGCCATTAAACAAGTTAACAAGTCACATATAATTCACCAAAATTCAGTTCCTATGCATATCTTGTAACACAAAATCCACAATTCGTTTCAATCAAAACAAAGCAAATTACAAAGGTTCATGAATGGAAAACAAACACATGAATGTTGGAAGATGTTCCCTGCCCCCGTTCCTCTCAAACATTGCTCACAAATTCGCTCACAAAATTCTCTCCAATTCTCACTAAATCGCTTCCTCTCTCATGCTCAAAAGAAACCTCCCCGCAAAAGAAGTTTTGTTTGCTCTAGAATTGAAGAAAAATGCGAGTACTCATCTTCTTCGAGATTATCCTTTTTATACCACTCGTTTCCACTGCTTGATGTTACATCGAACGACTTTGGCTGTTCTTCATCGCCTGAGTTGCTTGGAACTGAATCTGATGCCAGAAAGTCAAGTAATGGCGCATAGGCGCTTGCGGGAACTTGAGCTATAATGAATGAGCATCTAAGCGCCCATTACCTATCGCTCAGGCGCGAAATTCTCTGTCGCTAGATTTCAGATATATTGGCGCCTATGCACCCATTGCCTGGCGCTTAAGCGCAAAGCTCTCAGGTGAATCAAGGGGAATGAACTTGGGCGCTTATGCGCTAAGCCCTCTGGAGAGTGTGGATGTTGCAAGGAGTGGATGCCTATGCACCCATTTCCTGGCTCTTAGGCGCTCGGCCCGCAGTTTTATGTCTATGAATGGAAGGCTTTAAATGCGAGATGGTTCAAAATTTCAAATTGACCTAGAAATTTTGCCTCCATGATTCAACCCCACATATGTGCCTCCATGATTTCTTAATTTGGCTCAAGCCCATCCTCGTAATTTTCTAGTTATAGCATGAATACTTTAAAGAACTTAGGATAATAAACTTTTACTCTTCCTTGACTCTCCTTATCATAGCCCATCCTCGCCTTATCATAGACCATAATTTATCATCTAGAAAGATAGTAGAAGTTTTGCCATATGGCATTCAAAAACCTCTATTGTACTATTCATAATTCACGAGAAAGTATTGTCCAAAATAAACTAAATGCTAACTTCATAGTCACATAAAATGTGTCTGATATATGATGCAAGCATCGTTTCCACATGATGCGAGAATTGAACCGATTCACTAGGTTCAAATTTCTTTGGCCGACTTAGCAATTCCAGCCTCCAAGGCTAACCAACCCCCTTTGACCGCCTCTTTTCCTTAATTAGCATTAATATTATGGTTAATTTTCTTTGGACTTATACACATGTTATGCTTAAACATGGGAACAACTTTTTGGTTTTTGAATTTTATGCAATTTAAATATTATTTATGCTTTTTCCCTGAGTGGAAAGTTGTATCCTCTTATCTTAAGAAAATTGACTGTATCTTGATCAAGAATAGGCGGTGGTTCTTACTCGTCATCTTACATGTCATATCTAGCTGCCAATATAGTCTTTTACGTATTGTTCGCTAAATAGCCGCTCCCGCCATACTATCTTTCCCCAATACCATTTAAATTTCAGATTACCTAACTGATATTGCCTTATATCACTCTATAATTTTTCCTTGATACGTATACAACACATGAGAGTCCTAAACTGGTGTTATTTCATATCAAAGCAAAATTCCAACCCTAAACCTAGATCTTTTCATAAATTCAAACTTTATATTTCAAACCCTAAATCCACACAACCTAATTCTTCTAACACCACCAAAATCATCCTCACAATCATCAACAACCTATCCTGGTTGTAATCTCAAATCATCATTCTACCAAGGAGAAACACCAAAAAAATATTCCTAAGAGAAACCCCAAAAAAATATTCAAAAGCTTAAGGGATATATAGCGAAAAAGCCTTTATTTATAATGTAAGCTCGTTGATTTTGAACAAAGGGAGTACGACGAGGACACAAAAAGTCATTAAAGTAATCACCCAAAGGATAAGATGAAAAGAACCCCTTCCAAAAAGAGGCATCAAATGACAACGAACCAATGACACATTGATTTGACATTGAGGAATGAAATTGCCAAGTAGAACACCCAAGTGTTAGAAACAAACTAACAAATTCAAAAAAAACTAGGACCTTCAAGCAGGGTAACTTGTTGTGAAACAAATTGAAATAGAGGTTTGGGGTCGACTACATGAATCCTTTTTCTCCATTTTGTTCTACTGAGTGTCATATTTTCATTTAATCTAATAGATTAATATCATTTTTAATAAACATGTCGAAGTCTTTTTAGGTTTACCACCACCTTTCATAACATAAGTCGAATCTAAAACATCTACTCTCTTAACAGGATTATCAAATGGTCAGCGTTTAATGTGACCAAACCATCTAAGATGAGCCTCTCTAATCTTGTCCACCACCGAAGCTACACCAATCTTATCACAGATATATTCATTTTTCATTTTGTCTCTAAGTGTCAAGCCACTCATCCACTTAAGCATTCTCATCTCAGTAACACTTAACTTTGTTTTACTCTTCTCTTTTAAAGGCCAACATTATCACCACCATCTTATACATTTTGCTTTCAGTCTAAGCGGTTTTTTTCTATCACAGAATAGGCCCGATGCATTCCTCCACTTCCACCAACCAATTTGAATTCTACCAATAACATCCCCATCTATATCACCGTCAGTTTGAATAAATAGACCCGATATATCTAAAATGATCACACCTTTTAATGATTTGATCTCCATTATTACAACTCCGCCACCACTGCTAAAATTACATTCCATGTATTGAGTTTTAGATCTACTCAAACAAATACCTTTAGACTACAATGTAGACCTCCATAATTCAAGTTTATCCTGAACTCTTTCTAGTCTTATCTACAAGAAGATATCAGCAGCAAAAAGCTACACCAAGGTACATCCTCCTGTAAATGTCTGGTAAGAGCATCCATAACTAAAGCAAAAAGACAAGGGTTTAAAGCCAATCCCTCATGTAATCCAACTAAAATAGGAAAATACTTGGTCAATCCTCCTTCTGTTCGAACACAAGTAACAACTCTAGTATACATATCTTTAATAATTTGAATATAAGTCATACCAACACCTTTTTCCTCTAAAACTCTCTAAAGGTCTTCTCTTGGAACCTTATCATATGCTTTTTCTAAATCAATAAAAATCACATGTAGATCCTCGTTATTCTCTCTATACTTCTCCATCAAACAACTCAATAAATGTATAACTTCCATAGTGGACCTGCCCGACAAAAATCCAAACTGATTATGGGAAATATTTATATTACGTCTTAACCTATGTTCAATTACCCTCTACCATAATTTTAAATTATGACACATCAACTTAATTCCTCTATATATTGCACATTCTTGTGCATCCCCTTTATTTTTAAAAATAGGGATCAAAATACTCTTCCTCCACTCATCAAGCACCTTTTTAGTTTTTAAAATAATATTAAAGAGTTTAGTAAGCCAAGAAACTCTCTCCTAAACATTTTCACACTTCAACTGGTCCTACAGATTTTCCACCCTTATTTTTCTTTAAAAACTCAACTTCTCTTTTCCTAATGTGATGGTAAAAAAAATATTTAATTATTATTAATGATATTAAGATCACTATGATCGATAGTATTTTCAAAAATTTATTGAAAATTTTATCAAATTAGCTCACCCACCTATAATGAATATATTAATTTAAGGTTTTTTTTTATTTCTCTAAGAAAAGCACTTTTCAATTTTCATCTTTAATGCACTTTACTTGAATTAACTGTCTCTCTATTCATAGTATTTCCACATCAAGCCATCAAACAGATCCATAAAACTTTCAAATTGTTGTTCAGCAACACACATCTTATTAGGATCAATTGTAACTTCAGTAAAAATTTAGCTCTACAACAGAAAGAAAGAAGGTTTCAAATAAGATTAATGCAGAGCAACTCCTGAACACAATAGCAGTTGGACACAGTAGTAAAATAATGCTGTAAGAAAAGGTCAAGTAAACTGAGCACAGAGAGATGAAAAAGCACCTGGTAGAATCCAACGGAGTTGAAACCAAGACTTAAATTCAGAAGACCAATGGAGCATCCATTCAGAATTCCAAATCCCATTACTGCCCTTGGATCAAAAGGCTTATGTTCAAACAACTTCATCCGCAGTGCAACATGAAGAGAACAAAAAGTTACCAAAAGGTGCCAGCTTGTCAAGGTCGTGGCTGCAAATCATGTATGGCAATAAAGTAAACTTAAGTCTTAGTTCTAGCATTTCAAGTTGAAATTTGTATTGATACTCTATGTGAGATGATGACTTAGTTAAGAACTACAGAGTCATGCAAGTCCATCTCACCCTGCTTTAATGTAAGTTAGTTAATGAAAACAAAAAAGAAATAAAGCCATTAGCAGCTCATCACAATACACAAGATCATATTTGATACGACAGAATTTTAGCATAAGAAGCTATTTTAAAGCAGCAGTTGTTTTATTGAAGATACATGTATACAACAAATAATCAGAAAATCAGTATATCCGCATTGAATAGATGATGTAACCTAGAACACCATGTACAAACGAACTGTAGCCTAGGTTCTGACTTGTTTGCTTGGTAACTCCATAATTTTTTGCTACAAGGTTTTGAAATATCATACAGTGTACGTGAATACAAGGAAAACAAGTCTAGAGAAAAAAATATGCTATTACAAATAACAATAATACAACCTTACAAGTAATTTTATAAAGCTATAGTTAAAAGTTCAGGTTGTGGATGAATATGAGAAACAACAAACACCAAAATGTCAAAAATACAAGCATAAAAATCCACAGTTGAAAAGAAATATCACCATTCTTTTCAATGCCAATTGAATGCTGACAAGTAGCCACAGTCACCAACAAGCATCAAGAAAATTTAGTATGATTACCTAGCACCATAAAAATTTATGAGCGGATGTCTGCTTATGAGCAGATGTATGCTAAAAGAGTATTATGAAAACTAAGCAAGATTTTTTATTCCAAGAAAAATTGGAGATGAATGTTGCATTAGTCCTTGGATGAGAAAATTAACACAGAAGATTTATGCATGCTACATGAAAGGTAATGTTTCACTCGTGAAGTTAATTAGTTTTGTACGTAAAAGGAAATGCATGAATCTTACCCTTCAGATTATCCTACAGAACATAAGTAATTGATCATTAGCAGTAGCATCCTCTGCTTTCTTCAATAGCCAACTCCCTAGTCAAATTTACAATCCCTTCTTTTAAAAATTTGTATAGGCAGTTGAATCTTTAATAACCAAATCTTTTTGAACACCTTCTGAACATATTAACGTTAGGATTATCTGATATTTAATAAATTCTGACATTTATACGATCTGCGGGACATTGGTCAATACTCACCAAATGTGTCCAAAAAGCATTATTACTTCCACAACATGTCATGAAGTCATTTTACATAATGAGACATTTCCAACAACCTTCCGTTGCACCACACTTAAATTGCTTGTAGCTTCTGATTCTTAAATCAATAAAACAGCAAAAAGCAATCGGCACACCATGAAGGTCTTCTTTATTTATTTTACTTTTTTTAAAATTTTTATTTTTTTTACAAGCATGATAAGTCATGTTCAAATACAAGTTTTAGACAATTGGGTTGTTAAATTTCAAAAACCATTGGTTTTTACCCCCTCTTAAGATTCACAACAGTTTAAAGAATCCTTCCACCATTACCTCTCAAATAGTAGAAAAACCCTAGCACCCCTAATTTATTGGTTACTAACTAGTTGTTATTGATCCTCTAATGCTCTACCTTTGGAGCTAGCATAGATAACTTCCATATTGCACAACCAAAGTAACTCTTTAGTCTGCCCAGCACCTCCCTAATCACCTTTTCTTATTTCCAACCATGCATTCCCAATTCTTTTTCTCTTGTTTTGCTATTTCTCCTTCTTTTTGTACCACTACCCCTACCATAATGCACACGTACAATTGTATCCTTCATAATCCCACCAAGAAAATCATGATGCCAATTTTTATTTCACATCAAAGGCTCCATATCTTGAATTTAATTTCACATGAACATTCACATTATGGAAGCTCATCTTACTGCCCTTACAAATTCATCACCCGTTGTTGCAGTATCAAGGATTCCATTATCCTCTTTTAAAGGATCAAAAGAACTAGCCAGCACAGAATGGTATTCCCATACCAGAGATAAACCACCTCTGCCTCAGGAAATCGCAACATTCTAAGCTGTGACAGGATTAATAAAATCAACAGTATCATAAAACTCTTTCTTTTACTCGTAAAAAAAAAAATCAAACAAACTATTGTTTCTTTCTTTTTCCAGAAACAAAACAAGAAAAAAAAAAGCATGCAATAAGATGAGCCACCTCAATCAATTGGAAATGAACATATGCCACAGTGCAATCAAACATATATAAAACACCAATGCAGTTAATTCGCAGCTATTACAATAGGTTTAAACCCATAATCTAAGACCACTCACCGAACGAAAATCCGAGGGAACTAATAAGAGCCTTGTTGCAGATCACAATTGACACCGAAGAGACCACAGATAGCGATAACGCACCTACCGTGCCAAGCTGAAATCGCTGGCTCTCGCCCATCTCCGCTTCCAGATCTCCAACGCCTCACCCCTGCAATCTAAAACACTCCATTATGATAATCTCCAAACAAAACCAAAACATTCAAAATATCGAATCAGAAATCACTAACAAAAACTAATCCTACCTTATTAAAAACAAAGCGCAAGTCCATTGCGCACCAGAATTGTAAATCTTAGAAAGGATTCCGCCATTTCGAAAGTCCTAGATCTGATCAGGTTCGGAGAGGGGAGAAGAAAACTGCCTTCTTTCTCGAGGTTCAAGAATGAGAATTCTCTTGTTGTTCTTCTCACAATGTTTCCTTCCCCACCGCACTTAAAACAAATTTCTTCGATTTGAAGCGATTCATAGGAAGAGCAGAGGTTGGCAAAGATATCTGACAGTGAAGCAAACAACCTCGACACTGCCCCTCTATTTTTTTATTCTTCTCTGATCCCATATTTATTGTTTTTCTTTATTTATGCCGATGTCGGTGGCATTCAGACCATGGATGACTCTCGATTTCGGGCACTTATTACTATTACTTTTTTAGGGTTTTTAGATAGAAAGCACCCAAAATCAAAATATTGCTTATTACATATCCGGCAAACAAACAGCTACTTACAGGGAAGCACCCAAAACTTGAAAAAATCCCAAAAGAGCACTCTCTAACCCTCGTCTCTTCTTTGTTACCCTCCGCTAGGGATGTCAAAATGACTCGTTATTCGCGAACAACTTGTGTTCTTGTGTTCTGCTCGCTAAGAAGCTCATATTCGGCTCGTTCGCTAAGTTAACGAGTCGAACACGAACAACTAAATATGAATAACACGAACCGAGATTTGTTCATTTATGTTTGGCTCGTTTTGCCTCGAAAGACTACTAATTAATTATATATATATAATAAATTTTTTAAAAATATTACTCATCAAATATATAAATATATATATATATATTTGATGAGTAATATTTTTAAAAAATTTAATGGATTAAGGGTTATAAAGATTTATAATCAATTATAAGAATTAATTAAAAAAAATAGAATAAAAATTATTAAATTAAATTTAAATGATATTTTAATATAAATAATAATTTTTAAATTTTGATGGAGCTCTAGATTTAAATATTTTAACATCTTGTGACCACAAAACCAATATCGTGAAGGGAGCTCTATAAACTAGCCGAACAAGTTACACCCCTGACCTCCGTAGCCCGCATTTTCACTTCCATCGTTATTTCATCTCCCGCGCATCGGTAACCCTCCGTAGCCCGCATTTTCCTACCCTCTGTTATTTCATCTGCCGCGAATATCAAGCGAAGCTCGTCATCTCTCCTTCGCTGGAAGGCTACGGAAAACTCTTCCCTCCTCCGTTGGACAACTGCAGGAGCCTCGCCGAATCGCGGTCTTCCTTCCTCCGTCAGACTACTGTGGACTGCCTCGCCAAATCTCAGAGTACTTCTGTATCCGTCGGACTGCCTCGCTGAATCAGAATGACAAGTTCTTGCTTGTATTTTATTATGTAGCAGTTTTTTTTAATCTTTTCTATTGATGCTTGGTTGTTCTTAATGTTTAACATCATGTCATATATGCGCTTAGCTAATTCAAAAGCGATGGTTTAGGTTTTGTATTTGATTTTATTTATTGCAAAATCAGAGCATCCAAAATTTAATTGTTATTTTGTTCAAGCAGTCCTGCTTAAAGTAGCATAGTGGGGAGTTCTTCATGCCTCATCAAGGGAGCACAAATGGCCTTTGGGATCCTTGTTTTGAATTTTAAATGGATAACTCTACTATTTTTTAAATTTAAAGTTATTATAAGTATAATTTTTGTTCTTTGGTTGTTATTGAGTTGTTTTTTCTTGAGATGATTCAGGCAAGAATTTCATTTAATTTTGCGAAATTGGCTAGAAGGGTTAAGATCATCATAAAATAATTTGTTTCTTTTGTTGTTTACTGAAGTCTATGAGTCAGACTAATGAGTCTTTACTTGTATGGAATTTGAGACTATTTCAGATCAATCTAAGTTGAGATTAGTTCAAAATTCAAGTGAATTCTTATTCACATAAATTCATGTATGTATTTAAATTTGAATTAATGAACACTTGTATCTATTTATTTATATATAATGAATCTATATATGTATGAGTGCTAGTATATATGTTTTTCTACAAAGATTATGTAATGGGAAATAAAAAATGATCAAAATATTCTTAGTTTTGAATTTAGATGGAGTAAAATTTAAATTTAAGGAGCCATATCTAACTTGAATTGAGATAGCAGCGAACCACCTTGTAACTTTACTTAACACGGTGCTATCTCAAGTGAGTTCCTCCGATGTGATTCATATATGTTTGTTTTCACAGGTGTAATTGTAATATTGCACAATATTATATTTTGTGTTTGTTGCTAAAGTAATTATCATGTCTATTTTCATTGGGCTAGCTTGATTTAAATTTCAACTATTTCCATTGGAAGGATTTTTCTAATGATGTTCCAATGATTTACAGATTAATTGTAGTCCACATTTTTCTAATTTTTTTGGCACTAACTATTTTGTAGTTAAATTGCCTTCATTGAGAAGGTTTCACCACTTTTTTAACTCATGGATAGCAATATGGAGCATGAATATGACATAGAGAGAGTGATGTAGCTTATTTGCAAAATTATTATTTTTTACCCGAAGAAAGATGATTGAAATGCTTTAATAACTTATATAACCAATATTTTATTTATTGTAATGCAGTGGCTTTCATTTCAAATTTTAGATATGCAACCTGATGTAAATGAACACTTGCTTATAACTTTTAAATTTGATGGATATTGGACCCAAGTAAAACCAAGAGAGGATGAAGTAATAGGGGCAAGTAACACACTATAAAGATTAAAGAAAATAACTTGAGTCTTCTTTCATTAGAAGAAGAGATTAAAAAGATTTGTGGTTGGCTTAGCGTGCACCGGTTCAAATTATACTAACATATTATTGGAGTTACACCACAGGATTACAAATTACTTGCAAGTGATGATGATGTTCTTGGAATGAGTGGAAGTTCAATGGGAAGAAGTCGGGTTTGGATTGTTGTTATAACTCGAGAAGGTGTGGAAGTGATTATGAACTCACGAGATGCAGTTTCAAGCAATGGCAACAGGGCAATAGGTGTAGTTCCTGCTTCTGACATTTACAATGACAATTTTGGAGATTATGAGTGGTTAGTGTTGTTTTTAGGGATTCTCTTGCTTTCAAAAAATTTCTTCAATCTAGTTTCATTAAGAATAACTTTGGAATAAAAATTCAATCTTGTAACAAATGTCGAGTTATAGCCATATTATCATATAGAGGAGGCCCTTGGAGAGAGCTAGCTTCAGTTATAGCAGATGGGTAATCCTTTGAATTGAGAAAATTATATGGAACTCACTTATAACTCAGGGTGACATGGCAGGGAATAGAGTAACAACTTCATCTCGGGTGCCACAGTAGATTCAAGGTGCTGTTCGGAAGAATCCTAATATTGCTCCAAAAAAACATCAAACATACATTAGAGAATATGCATGAATTATCACTATCATGCATGAAGTTATGAAAGTCACGTGAGAAAGCTCACATTTGCTTTTTTGGATTTGTAGATTATAATTATAGATGTGTGTCTGCGTTACAAGCTGAGTTGATTAGCTGAAATCCAGATTTAATATCACTTACATTTGCAACAGTGTTCATAATTCTCTCCAAAGATTTTATGTAAGTTTTAAAGTTTGCATTAATGGCTTCTTAGCAGGATGCAGACCTCTGATCGGCTTGGATGCATGTCATCTAAAGTTAAAATACTTGAGTGTTTTATTAACTGCAATTCCATTAGATGGTGATAATGATTTATTCACTCTAGCCTTCACAGTTACGAAATCTGAGTTGAAATCCACTTGGAAGTCGTTCTTAGAATGTTTGTCAGCTTCTATTGAATTTGATTTGCAAATTTCGCCTTTATGTTAGACATGAAGAAGGGCTTGAGATAGGCCATTAAAAAAGATTTTCCAAATGCAGAGCATAGAATTTTCTTACTTCATCTTTGGAAGAATTTGAAAATATATTTCATTATAATTATAGCCATAAGGTTGAAAGCCTCGTATGGTTAGCAGCTAATGTCGACACTCAGCCTGAGTTTGATAATAAATTGGCTGAACTTTTTAGTCTCTCCACAAGTACACTTCTACTTACTTGCATTGCCTTACACATGGTACAGAAGTTGTTTTAACATTGAGATTAAAAATCATTACAACACAAAAAACATGTCTAAATCATTTAATTCATTGATTGGAGAAACCTGAAATAATCCAGTTGTTGAATTGGTTGATATGATTAGAGCAATGCTCATGCAACAAAGAGCTCAGAGGAAGAGAGATGTGACTGCTTGGAAAGGGGAATTAGTTCCATATGTTGAAGGCTACATTAGAAACATATCCACAAGTAAAGAGTAGTTCCTTGTAAGGGAATCTACCCACATCGAGCTGAGCTTGAAGGTAGTAATGGTAGACATGAAGTTGATATAAAACTTAAGATATGGACCTGTATAAAATGCATTATTATGGTTTTATATTTATGCTCCTCCACATTTGGGCATGGATACCTCTAGAAGAATGCCCCTACACATACATACATACAACATACATATATATATATGCACATACATACATACTAATGCACACACATAATTAACTACACCCACCTCTCATCTAAGAAAAACAATTAAGCAGTTGTGTCATAGTGACATTCACATATTTTTGTGCAAGTGACCGTGTGTGGCTAAGGCTATTCCTTTGATTTTGATGGGGTCAACATGGTTGGTCCCATCTTAAGGATCTAAGTAAGCTAAACCATGTCACCTTAATATGAACAAAAGTTTTTTTTTTTATTTAAAGTCTAACTACACACATGTATATATGTATAATAAATAAATTTTGGATTTAAGATATTGAACTTATTTATGGTCTAAGTAGCAAATGACTTAGTTTAAACTATATTGAAAATATTATAATAAATAATAACATTTGTAAAATCATGATCTTATGTATGGTCTAGATATCCATAGTGACACATCTTAGATCCCGTAGACCCTTAGTACAATTATATGAGCAAGGTTGTAATGTGATAATTTACATTGAGCAAATGTATAAACCTGAGAACAATATTTATTAACACATTACAACCAAGGGCTAATCTCACATCTACATGGAGACTTACCATTGAAGTATTGAATCTCCAAATTCTGTGTTAATGTCATGTGGCTTCACTAAAAAAGGGTGAAAAAAAATGCCACATACAATGAAAACAACATGGGTGTTTGAGATATGCTCTCAAATACTTGAACAAAAATGTAGAACAAAGAGCAACCCATTAAAAGATTAATGCATATGCATATGATGAATGCATATTAATATGCTAGCTACAAGCTATTTTACATCATGGTAGTTCGTGCTAGATGATAACACTTATACCAGAGGGGGCTGATTGTTCTAGATGCAACTATTATGCAGGGTATGA